TTCTCTCTATTATTTTATACATCTCTCTATTATCTTCTCTATGTATGTACTGAGAAGATAAATGACAAAGAGTGACTACTAAGCTTTTTACAGAAGGTACTGAGAATAAAACACACACAAATTTCAAACTGCTCACATCATTTTGGATGGTAATTTTCCTATTGCTCTTGGTCCATGTTTCTCAGTCTTCAGACAAACCTTAGGGAATCAGCAGCTTAAGTCATTTCTATAGTATGTACATTCATCTGCTGTTCCTCCAGATATGTTATTTATTTTTAGAGAAAAATCAATGTTGAAGTTAAGACTTTATCAGGTTAAAGGCAGCTTAAATCCAGTGATGAAAATGTCATCTCTCATTTGCGCTCTATCAGTTTGAACCCCTAGAAATCTTTGCTTTTTCCCTCATCTTCTGCTGGTTTTACAGTCAAAGAAGAAAGGGGTATAATGTTTATTGTCTAAATGCCAAATGTTAATTGAATCATTTAACGGGTACCAACACCAAAGAAAAGAAATAAAAAAGAGGCATTTCATTCTTCTCAAAGAGTAAAATAACTTGCAGTCTATTCATTTGGTCTTCTGCTGCATTTGGTAAGTACTCTTTTCCTCTTGCTTATGTTTAAACATCCAAATGCATTTATCAGACTGCCTTTGGGGGCTGCTGTGAGAATAGGGATTTGCATTCACATCTTGTTATAGAAAACATTCAGACTAATACAACAGCAGCAGTCTATATTAAAGATATACAAGTGTCACTTAAAATCTAAGCTCTTAACTAAGAAAGAGGACATCTGGTCATACTCCTTGTGTTCCCTCTACTCCCACAGTCCAAAATCTTGCAGAACATTTTCTTAGCAAGTAACAAAACCACAATATAGTACAATAAAATCTCACTGACCCTCCATTGATTAAAAAGTAGGAAACAACCTTAAAGAGCCAAAGTTTAATTTAGAGTGATTGATTTTGTAATATAAACTTGTAAGAGTTGAGAAAGTATGAGTAAGAGTTAAGTGAACAATATATTCAGGGGACTTTTGCAAAAATTTCTAAGAAAATAAAACAGTATGCAATATTTTAAAAGACTTGTCACTCTGACCTGCTCATTACTTGGATGTAGACAATTCTTCTATGTCAGTCCTGATCTGTTTATATTACAAAAGATTTTTTATTTTATATTTCATCTTCTGACAAGGATGCTATTTCCCAGATATGCATGTGACTTTCTTCTTTATTTTCCTTTAAATCTCCACTCAAATATCACCTAGATAAAATAGAATCCCAGCTGTCCCCAGGACACATTCTAGCTCTCATGTGTCTTACTATTTTTTTTTAGTTCTTACCACTCATTTGACATACAGCATATTTATTTGTTTATTGCTTCTCACCTTGCACTAAAATGTAAACTTTATACAAGCAGAGACTTTATGGTTTTGTTGATTCTTTGTTCCCACTTCCTATAGTAGCTACTGGCATGTAGAAGGTATGCAATACATATCTGTGGAGTGAAGGAACAAATGAAATTTACTTGACTCTGATACAAAAATGTACTGAGAAAAGGACACAAATTGATAAATATCTGGTACAATATTAATACAATCATAGAAAGGAACCTTTCTGTTTGTGCCTGATGTTCTCAAGTCTCTTTGTTGTTTTCTTTTTGCTGGGTTTGAATTGCAGACATTTAGCAGGGAGGCTGCCTGCTGACTAATGAGATAGAGTTAGAGATCTAGCCCAGCAATATTCACACATTCTATATGCATTCATTTTTCTCTAGTGACATTTTAATATATTTTGGTGAAGATATTCACAAGATAATGAAGGTATGTCTAGTGAGCATTGAAAGTGATGAGTCTTTTTTTCCATTATCAAAGACAAATACAGGTGTGTAATATATGCAGAACATTGAAAGTAGAAAAAGAAAATGAGAGAATCCCAAGTAATGAAAAGAAATTAAAGCCCTCCAGTAATGAAAAGGAAGGCCAAACTGAAGACATAAATCTCTGCACTCAGCAAGGATTTATACTTATGTGGAGTGAGTGGACCCATGGCTTTCATGATGTGATTCATTTTAGAAAAACGCCATTTCTTCTGCCAAATATAGAGTTCATGGTTTAGTGAAAATTTTATCTTCAGTCTGATCCCATGAGCCAAATTCTGATCCCATATATTCTCACACCAGGAATAAACTAATTCCTAAGCTTCTTTGTAAGATTCTAAGGATACCGTCAAGGAAGGGGCAGTCTCTACTGAGGTGAAACCTTCGTATATTTGCATTAGGTCTTATGCTATACACTCTGTGTGACATGCCATTAATAATGTAAAGATCATTTAATTTTACACTGCTTGAAACTTGTCCAAATGACCAAGAAAGATATCAACTCACTTATAATGCAGTCCTGATGGTGATACTAGAGAGTATGTGATCATGAATTCTTTTCAGTAGATTCAGAATAGTTAGGCAGGGCAGAATCTAGACAGGTCATTGTCTACTAGGATCAAATCCGCAGAGATATCACCAGGTTTGGGGGTTGAGCTTTAAAGAACAACTATCATTGGTGATTATTTTTGAAATAGATCATGCTGCAATTAATCAGAGTATCTTCTCTATCACTGACTGTATAGTAGCAAAATTCAGATAAGTAGTTCACCCAGTTTGTGGTGGAAGGTATTGGTTATTAAAATGAATGCAGATATTTTATTGGGAGGATAGGGAATCTCTGTGAATAAGTTAGGCAGTAGTAGCTAACACAAACAATACTCATGTAGTCAGGCCATCCTACTTTGGCCAGCTATATATTAGGTTCCATATATTGTACAGTAAAATTTGACTTCAATCTTTTTCCAAAATTAGGGGTTGAGCTATTTAATTCAGTCACTAATAAACTGATTTCCAATTCTGCTGGTTGGAGTAAGTGAGTATTCATAGAAGTGGAGGACAAAAACTGGCAGTCAAAGAGTAGATGTAAAAAGACAGATGCCCAGGGCTGTGTAACAGTGATAGTTGCTGAGCTGAGATTTAGATCAGGGAGGGAACTGCTTAGTACTGTTCCAGATGACAACGGACATTAGGTAGTAGGCTGAGAAATGATCTACTCTATCATCTGAGGGAAGGGACTAAAAACCACAAAGCTGACTCAGCAGGCTTTGCAAAACTCAGTGTATAAATTGGTCATACTCAAGAGGAAAATATTTTAAATTTAACTAGATTGTTATAAATGATGATGCCACCCCTTGAGAGATCTTTTATCTGCTCATCTCCATGAATGTTTCTCAAATATTTTTGTAAATTTTCCCAGGTTTTGTTTGGTTGCAAAAAATAACACAAATTGACATAGGAAGATGCCACTTGTTTCAAGCTGCAGACAGTATTTCCATTTGCTCTAATCAGAATTCTCCCAAAGTGGTCATCTTCTAAAATAAACATAGCGTGAAGTAATAAATCATGTCTAAAATACAATCTACACTTGAAAAGCTTATTCTTTGATCTTATCAATGAGCAGCATTTTTCTAAAATAAAATAGAATATATTTTTCAAGATAATATTTCACTAGAAAAAATATTCTTTCTCTTTCTAAGAGAAAATTAATTTAGATATATTGTTATTGAAATAAAATATGCAGAATGCAGGATAGAGAACAATACATAATTAGGTCTCAATGAACTTCTAACATGACTGTCTTTAACAGTTGCTTATGAAAAGAAAAAAAAGGCAGTACCAAAGCTTGTTTTCCTGAAGCACCATCTGTTATTTTTGTTTGAATTAATCTTAGCGCTCTGAAAGTTATGGGTACTGTGCAGTAAAGAGCAGCATTATGGGAAATGTTGTATGTCTATGTGCTCGGCTTCCCCAATTTTACAAGTATAGAATTTCAAAGTGATCTCTTTTATCAGAGGTGTGACTGAATTTCCTGCTTGTGCACTGTGCTATTAGCAAAGTAATATTGCATTGTCAGTTTGCTTGCACTGAAATACAAATAAAATAGGATCTTGGCTTGCATATTTTCTGTCTAATTGTTGTTTTCTTTATGTCACATATATAGAGACTTTGAAGAAAGTGATTATCAAATTGTTATCAAATACCTATAAATTCTATTGATTTCTCTACCTTAGGGAAATTAGTTTTTATAGTTAATTTAAAAAATTAGATTCTCTTCCTCAAAGGAAGATCTATAGATTTCAAATACTTTTATATACTGTATAAACATCGATGCATGTTTTACACATCATTTCTCTCCCCTTTGGGAGTAGTGGACCAGAAATATGTAACAGCATGACACATGGTTATAGATATTTTCCATGGAGGTTTTATCTGTCCTTTTACTTAAAACTAAAATGACAGCCCTGCCTTGGTGGCTCAGTTGGCTGGAACATCGTCCCATACATTAAAAATGTTGAGGGTTTGATTCCCAGCCAGGGCACATACCTAGGTTGCAGGTTTGATTCCCAGTCAAGGTGCATATAGAAGGAAAATGATCAGTGTTTCTTGTTTCTCTCTCTCTCTTTCTCTCTCTTGCTCTCTCTCCCCCTCTCCCTTCCTCTCTCTCTAAAACCAGTGACTATATCCTCAGGTGAGGATAAAAAAACCCTAAAATGACAAATTTAAGATATATGTTTTTCAAGTATTGCCCTTAAATGTCAGAAGAATAAACTTGAAACAAACCAAAAAAGAAGAGTAAGTGATGGTTGTCCATAGGCCACATCTACTCAAATTGAGGTTTTTACCTTGACTATAAATTCCAAGAAGACGGAGAGTATTTGAAAATTCACCAGACTCTGGAGGGTCCAACTGTGATCTCTGGTCAGGATTTTCGACAGAGGCAGTGCTAAGTCACTGGTTGCTCTGGTTAGTGTCAGGGATTGTCACCTGGTTAAGTCATTAAATGGTACTGATGATAACGAACTGAAGTGTACACTTGCTATGTACCGAAAACTTTAAATTAACTCATTCAATTATGACAACAAACTCCCTGTGGTTAAGTATAATTATTATCTCCATTTTACAGGTGAGGAAAGAGAAGTAATATACTCTGTGTTCCTGGGGAACTAAGAGGTGGAACTGAACCCAGGCAACCTGATCTTACAATAAATCTGTGCTCCTAACACTACTCAAAGAAGGCAACCAGCAGGTAAGGTTTGGCTTACGACCATTTTAAAGGGCAAAATTCATGCAAGATAGGCCAGTGTATAAGAGAGGGTTCAGTCTCTACAATAATAATAGCAAGTCCTTAGTTGGTACCTGCTCTACACCAAGCACTTTATATATATATCAATTAATTTAATCTTTATAACATCTCTAAGAGTAAGGTACTCTTTCAATTTCCAGCTTGTTATTGTAGAAACTGAGGCGTCAAGAGATGAAATGAAATAGCTTGCCTACAATGGCATCCTAGTGGCAGAGAGAGGCTTTGAACTCAGATAGTCTGACTCTAGTTCTTGTTCTTTTCCATTATAAAATATTGTATCTTGTTTTGAAAATTTAAGACCTTAAGTAATTTATGGGCAACATCCAGTTTACAGGAGCCAGGTTTAAGAGAAGAAGAAGGAAACATATAAAGTGCCTTTTAAAAATTAAAATTCAATAAAAGAGAAAAATATATCAAAACATATCAATAACAATGACCCATGGGCACTCCACAATATAATCTACATTTACCCTCTCATTCTGGTGCTTGTTAGGTTGAATTGTGTTCCCCCACCCTCCATACGTTGAAGTTCTAAACCTGTGCACCTCAGACTATAACCTTATTCTGAGATAGGTTTATACAGAGAGAATCAGGTTAAAATGAACTTGGGTTCATTTGGGTAGACCCTAACCCAATAAAACTGTTGTACTTGTAAGAAGAGAAAATTTGGGCAGAGACCACATCAAGGGAAGATGATAAGAGAGAAGACAGCCACTGACAAGCCCAAGAGAGAGGCGTGGAACACAGCTTTCCCTCAAAAGAAACCAACCGTGCTGATGATGTAGTTTCAGACTTCTGATCTCCAGAACTGTGAGACAATACATTTCTGTTGCTTAAGCCAACCGGTTTGTGGTACTTTCTTAGAACAGCACTAGCAAACTACTATAGTACGCTTAAATTAAAGTGAGCAGAAAATTATTTCACACACTGTAGCCAATTCATGGAACATAAGGAAGGACACTGAGACATCTCAGGGAATTCAGAACAGTCTGTACAATCGAACTTGAACAGGGACTGAGGAGTGTCAAAAACTCAGGCAGCATCTCCAAGTCTCTTCATTTTCACAGGCTGTATCATCTCTCCCTTTTTAAAAAACTTTTGTTGACAGTATTTCTTCACATTTTTACACACATGACTGCACCAAAGCCTCCAAGGGTACAGCCCCCCCCCACAAAGTAACAAATACTTACTGAGAAGTTTAAAATCTCAAGTCTAAACTCATAAGAGGCAATCTGATAGGCCTGACATAGGCCAAGTTTCTTTCCATGTTTCAGTCAGGCAGGGCCAGGAAAACAGGGCTTCACAGGGTAAAGATGGCTGTGGGGCTCAGACCCCCTCCCTGAGTTCCTCTGAAGGCTCCGAAGAGGAAGCACCCTCTTCACACCATAAACAAGGAAAACAGAAAAGAAGTAAAAACAGAGAGAAGACTGCTGTGCAAATTAAAGACGAGGGGGACAGACAGGAGCAGCCATCGTTCCTGCCAGCCAGAGGCCAGATGAAAACGGAGAACATTTCAGGCTCCAATAAACTGGCCAAGATGAAGTGAGTCTACAGCAGGTGCAAGCCCTAACCCAGCTGCCCCGAGGCCAGCACAGGTACTGCAAGGGGACAGCTTCCCGCAGGATGTGGAGGGGTCTGGAGGGCAGATGGAGGAAGGTCAATCCAGGATGTGAGCACAGCCGTTCGCCAAAGGCTAGAGGGGCAAAGAGGAGGAGAACAGGGATAGGAGCAGAGGTTGAAGCTGAGCCTTATTTTAGCAGATGTTCTCCAGTTCCAATGACCACAGGCCAGACCATGGCTGCATCCTGCACACATCCTCATATTTTGGAATAAAATGTGACATTCAAATGCCATGGGCTGGAACTTGTTATTAATTTGATAATTTATGTAAATAAAGTATCTGGAGCAGAATTTCCTTAAAATTTGAACATTTTTCCCTATAATTACTCAAAATTTTATAACAGGTAAAATTACATGATAGGATTCATAGGACTCCTTTTATAAGCACCTGGAGAACTGGATGCCTAAGATTTTATGAGTAGTGCCCTGTGGAGGTACACCATCTAGTAACTCCCTTCCACAGTGTTCTGCTTGAATATTTACCATTTTCTGTGTGACATGATGTGTGAAAGGTTAGAAGCACTCAACGAGATGGTCTCTATAGTCTTTGATCGTTCTAAGCTTCTCAGACTACTATGGAAAATGTTTAAACCAGCATTGGGGGAATTTTTTAGTTTTTCTTATAAGCAGTAAAATATAGAGTCTGGCAGAAGTAACACCTACTTGAGTGTGGTTGGTAGGGTAATAATATGGGTGTAATCATTTATAGTTTTAATTTGAACAATTCACCTAAAATGTTGTATGGTGTGCTTGAGTGTGATATTGTTATGTTACGGAATTATATGCTTATGATGTAATTAAAAAGGATCGTTATTTGTGTTGGGCCCTATATATTTAAAATATGTACGTTCCTGCCTTCTATGATTTTATGTACCAATAGCACTGTAATTTTCTTGTCACTGTAACTTTAGCTAATGATAAAGGTCAAAAGACCTTCTTACAGAAAGTAGCATCAGTTGAGATACATGATTAATCATGATGGATTAAAAAACCCGAAGAATCCTGAAACACCAATTCAAAAGAACCTATATACCCCTATGTTCATAGTAGTGTTATTTACAATAGCCAAGTGCTGGGAACAGCCTAAGTGACCATCAGTAAATGGGTGTATCGCAAAACTGTGGTACATGTACGCACTGGAATACTATGCAGCAGAAGAAAAAAGAAACTCCTATACTTCACAACAGGCTGGATGGATCTGGAGAGCACTATGCTAAGTGAAATAAGCCAGGTGGCAAAAGACAAATGCCACATGATTCACCTATAACAGGAACCTAATGAACAAAAAATGAGCAGAATAGAACCAGAGGCATGGAACAAGGAACAAACTGACAGGGACCAGAGGGGAGGCAGGAGGGGGAGAAGGGAGGAAAGAAAGGGAAGGGCCTAGTTCACAAAAACATGTATAACCCATGGACATGGGCAACACAGTGGGGATGGACTGTTGGGGGGCAGAGGAGAGCAATGGGGCAAAACTGGGACAACTGTAATAGGACAGCAATATAAATAAGTAAATAAAATGTGCAGCACTTAAAAAAAATAAAAACACTAAACTTTTATTGAAATATTTAGTGTTCTATCCCAGTTTGATGTTCATCATGTAATTTAGTTTTCTTTTTTAAAAAATAAACATTTATAAATAGTTTATTTAGCAAAATCTATTAACCTTTTATGCCTAGACATTCCATTTTCCACTCAAAGATTAAATATTAATTACAATATAAAAAAATAAGAGTACCTCTGTACATAGAACAGACTGACAGCTGTCAGAGAAGAAGGGTTGGGGATTAAGTGAAAAATGTGGAGGGTTTAAGCAAAAGAAAACAGCTTCATAGATACAGACAGCAGTATGGCGATATAGTAGCACATTCTTGCTATTTTCTATTTATATGTAAAAGACATGTAAAAAAACCTAAGCAAGAATGATTTTATTCTTTCTCACAAGAAATTGCTTTGTCTGTTAGGGAACTTGGCATATGTAAAAAAGATACAGCATAATTGGAAATGTAAAGTGTTTACTGGATTCTTTTAGCATTTCATGTTTGATTGATGAGCATTTCATTCCCATTTGCAACTTCATATTCTGCATATGGACAGAACTAGCATGCAAACTTGCAAAGGTAGCTAGTCAGGATGGAGATTTTCAGCTAACATTTTAGAACTGACTTTACATTTTGAATTAAAAAAAAACACCCAAAATTCTCATAATTTGAATGATTTTTGAATATTGTGACTTTGGGCCAATCATCCTTTATAGAGGAAATATAATTGACCTAAAAATTTTCTCAACAAAATTCTATTAATTTTGCACCAGTACATACAGAATTCACCAGTCCCATAAGCGATGAGATCATGGTTAATCAGCATCTAGGGCAGAGGCGGCTTATTCCGTGTAAATGGGAGCACTGGGTATTGTGGGTTGCAGTGAGAAATGATGATGTTGAGAAAAGGAGAGATGCAAGAAAGTTCTTGCAAGCCACACTTGTATTTGAGATTGTCTTACTTTGAAGGAGTCAGTGATTTTAAAAAGAGTGGTGTGATGAGAAATAATTCCTGTAAAAGCACAGTTGGGAAGATGGAGGATGATTAGGCTAGAGGAGGGACTGAAAGCAGAGAGATGAGCAGGGAGGCAAATGTAGTAGTTTTTGGGATGGGAGAAATAGACAGAAAACTGTACTTGAAAAATAACTAAATAAAATTTTAAAAAATCCTTTACAAAAAAAATAAATAAAAGAGGGCCTGAACTAAGGCTACTTTGGTGCAGGAGACACATTGGAACCTGAGGTTTCAACAGTTATATAGGAGATAATTTTAGGAGAAATGGAAGACACCTCAAATTTCTGATAGAAAATGTGAGAAAAATAGTAAAATATATGTGCATTTATTTTGGAGGGAGTGGAGGAATGAAAGTTGATAACAGAAGGCTGAGTTCACTTTGCTTCTTGTTGAAGTCAACTAAAATAACAGCTTAACAGTGGCACAGAACTTAACAACTGGGAAATTACTGGTGACCTGAGTGCCAGCAGTTCACAAGCACAAGGTGGAAGAACACCAGGTAGTACTGAGAAGTGTGCAAACAAAAAGAATAACTTCACATAGTGTCTTTTAGTTATTACATATAACAACATACACCTTTCCATAATTAAAAACTACATGATATGCTATATAGCGAGTACAGAATAACTAAGCAAACATGTAGAAATATTTCCCCCCTAAAACAGCAGTGCACCGAGCATGTTGTGCCTTTACTTATTTCAATGCTGTTGTTTTTTGTTATTTCCATAGGATAAATTCTCGGGAACTAGGTCATTCAGTTGAAGAATATGAATGTTTTTGGCTTTCTGGTTTTTTCAAGCCATTTATTATCATCTATACGTGTGATATCATGGAATAAATTCAGTCATAAATAATTTGGTGAATACAATAAAAGGACAGAACTCTGAATAGAAATTTATAACCTTGGTAAATATGCTTAGATTGTTAGTCATTTGGCTTAAGACTAATAATATTTTCTCAAATATTATCCATTTGAAATAAAGGTTGGTCTAGATTTAGTGATCCTCCTTTCAAAATTCATTTCTTCACTTCGTAAGTCTCTTGCTTGGGCGATAAACATGTTTAAAAATTCTAAAAGAAGGGAGTAAAATATTTGTTTTATCAACCATTGAAAAAATGAAATTTTATTCTAAATTCTGTCAGGTGAGTGTAAAGTCACCTGACAATTGGTACAGGTGTACCAATTGATACTTCACCTATGGAGCACTTGGTGGCTCCCTAGGACACTTCAAAGTAGAGCAGCCTCTGATTGGAGGAAGAAGCAGGTCATAGTTTTGATGATTTATATTTATATGAGTCCATTTATTGTCTAAAGTGTGTGACGTTAAATAACCATAGATTCTAAATTGAAGATAAGCCATAAGTTAAATAACAATATGTGGTATGAAAGATGATCATTTTTAGGAACACATAGTTTTGGGTGAATCCATTACATAACATTAAATAACTTGTGTTGAAATAGTTTGGTTGCCTTGACAGGCCTAATGTTGATTTTACTGTCATTTTCCTCCAGGATTTGATTTTCATTTGTATGAGAGGAAGAAGACACATGATACGAGTTGGCTCATGTGCCTGAATATGGCCCCACAGGGAAGATTTGATGGAGCTGAAGGTATTGCTTTTAGAGACCTTTTTATTTTGAGCTGCTGCCTTCATAGCCTTCATCTAGTTACATTATATGGGAAAGATATATAACTGAGCAATGGTTTTTGGCTAAAACTTACAATTGGAAAAAACAGAAACAGAGATGGATGTTCCTTAAGTTACATTTTTCACAATACATAACAGATACATAATTTTCTTATCCTAGTTTTAAAGCATTCCTTTAACCTCCAGAGTTTTTTGTTTTGTTCATTTACATAGTCAAACTTTTTCTTTGCCCCAGACTATTGCATTTTGGTTTAATAGTTTGAGCCCTTATCCTGACGGCATCTCAAAGGGCTCATCTACACAAGTAGACTTCAGGGCTGAACATTCCAAAGGACAATTCAGCACTTCCTTTTCACTATGTGAAAATGAAAGACCTCTGATCCTCAGCTGTTAATGCACAGGTGGCAAACGCAAGGCCTGCAGGCTCAATCCAGCCCATCCCCTTGTTTTATCTGGCCCAGCACCTTGTTTCTACCTGGGAGCAGCTCCTGGCTCCTTGCCCCTACTTAAGGAGTAGTTACACTTATACAGTCCTCAAATTACATTTGGCCCTTTGAGGCAACTGTGAGGCTGATGTAGCCCCCTGTGCAAATGAGTTTGACACCCATACTGTTAATTTATTATAAAGGATAAATTATGCTTGTTTATCTAATTGTACTTAACCAGAGGACTAGGATGAAATCAACAACAGTTTTATTTGTGAGATATGACAATAGGGGCTTTAAGTCTGTAATACCTAAGTCAGCTGGGAAGATAGCTGATGGTAGCATCAACACCTTTCCGGCATCAATGGCGTCTTTGAGTTTAGAAATGCGTAAGTTCCCTGAAAATACCAGCAGCATACTAAAATGACACATAGCATTCCAAGCTACATTTACATGATTGCAGTGGATATGATTAATACCAATTACGTTAATGCTTATTTTACTTCTTATGGCTGATTGACTCAATTTGCTAGTTGCTTTGGTATGTTCAAGAAATACCATAATCCAAATGACCTTTTATTTAAGTTTTAAAAATTATCGGAGAAAATACACTTTGACTTCTTGAGAGGCAGAAGTTTTCTCTCAAGTGACAATCTTCTTGGCCTTCTAAAGCCAATCCTAAATAAAATTGCAGTCTAGTTTTTGATGCTTTGCCTCATTGGATCTTTTCTATCTTTACCTAAAAGCTAATCTTCAACCATAAATACATAGAAGAGAAAAATATATTGAGTTTAAGAGTTTGGTCTGCTCAGTGGATAAGAACTTCATATTTCTCCAAAGAACATAAATTTGAAAAGAACAGCATATAATCGATACAATAATGGAAAGCAATTGAGGATATCTGGAAAGTAACTCTGAATAGATACCAATAATGGTCTATAATATGACACAAAGGCTAAGCAAATATTTCAGGGATGCGAACTTTCTTAGGTGGTGTGGTCAGTCCGTGAACTGCAGTTAGGAGAGGGGAGGTGCAGAGAACCCTCCCTGGATGTTGCCCACTTGCCTTTGGGGTCTGCTTGGAGCCAGGTTAGCTAGTAGTTTGAAAAGCTTGAGTAACTGGGTAAGTATCTTAGCATCATTTTACATTTAAACCCTGAAAAGTTAGATGTGTTTAAATAAGCTTGAACTTGTACCTGGAGCACAGTTGGAGGAATAAAAGCACAAAACAGAAATGGATTTGGATGTAATATTTTTATATTTTAAGGAGTTACTTTTGGGGATTAGTTTTCCATTTTATTCTATTTACTATGAAACAAGTAATATTAAGAATAAATACTTAACATTTTTAAGTATTGAAAGTCTTATGAAGTAAGTAAAAGTTAATACTTTTAAAATCCTTAACTAAATATTTTCAGCGGAAAGGGCAATTTTAGTGACAATTAGCTGATGGCGTGGTAATTATTGGAATATTGTGAGTGCCAATAACAAAGCCTTCTGTTAAAATGCGAGGAAATTATCGTGTAAAATGTTCTCACATTTTTTCATTGTAGTTTTTTCCACACTGTATTTAGCATATTTCTGACATGTTACTTTAGCTTGTTGAATTTCTGAAACAGTATTTTTCAGTATTTGTGTTATCACTGATGTAGGAAAAAGCAGATCATTGTTAATATTAGGGTGCTCTTCAGATTTCAAAGGTGAAGGTCATTCCCTTTTCCTACTTCATAATGCAGTGTTTGTAATGTAGTATTTTCCAAAAAAAGTACTCTTTGGGAAATGAGTTTAGTAAATAGCCAAGTCATTTCTAATATAAAACAGACAAGGAAAGGTAGTGCCAGGTGGGTTAGGCCATTAAAAATGTCAGTACATCACTAATTACCTATTATGTTGGCCAACCAGAACTTACCCCTTTTCATTCATACTGGTCTAGTGAAACATTTCCAGAATAAGGAGAGGTTTCTTTCTTTTTCTATTTGTTATGCAGGGAAGTCATCAATTTTTTCTGACTTTCATTTTAATGGTTTGAAGTAGTCAGATGCATGGCTTTTCAATTTCTTTTACTACTTTATTTTATTACCTGGTTATTTTAAGGTCAAAAGATTTCCATTTCCAAAACACATAATAGAAATAATAAAGCAGTAGAACTTGGACTTAAATAACATGGACATTTTTCTTAAAAGTGTCAACATGGTTTATAAATTATTAAGAAGGTAATAAAATTTGAACGTATATAGCATAAACTTTACCTTAAACTGTCAAATACATGCTTTTGAAGATAATTTATTAATATATCATCAATAAGTATTTTTCTTATCATTAGAGAGAGTTAAGTAAAATCTAGTTACCCAAGAAACCATTAGATTGGAAACACTAGATGTTATTTGGTTTCATTTACCTGAAGTCTATATTTCTGCTGTGTTATCTAAGGTCAAGTCTATAAAATCAAACACCTGAAAGAAAGGTGAGAGTTTTCTAATTAAATCAAACTCCAAACATTGTTTTTATATACGTAATCTGGAGAATTGACTATGGGTGGTTTCTTTAAAATGTCTGTAGGAAACAATTTCTTTATTCTTCCATTCAGCTCCAGCGATGCTGGCCATAATATTGAGTTTCTCTTCAAAGCAGGATTTCAAAGTCCCTGCAAAATCTGAAGTGGTGATGCTCATAGAAGCAACTTAGCATCTTCACAGAAATCCTGTCATACTGAATTTGGAGAACAGCCTCTACATATCTAAAATATGTATATTTTATGGAAAATAAATACTTATTTTCCATTTCCTGTATATATCATGGAAAATAAGTATTATTTTCCATAAGAAGAGTGATCCTTAAGGAAAAATGATTGGCCTGTCCCTCAGAGAAAATGCAATGCCACAGTGCGTTATGGGAACAGATAGCATTTTCCTGTCTTTGTGATGTTTTTCAACACAAATTTTGGTCAGGGAAATCATTTTAAAGTAGAATAGCATCAGAAACAATCAGTGCAGAGTGAACGGGCACCAAACGAGCCACACACCTGTGTTTGCAAAACTGTGTCGATGCCCAGGAGGCTTGCAGCAATTGGTATTTCTAGAAAGCTACAACAGAAGTGGTGCTGGAGGGTGGTGTGATTTCTGCCAATTAATGTTCCCTGAGGGCAGTGACCCTCCAGAAAAAGAATAAAAAATTAATAATGATGATAGCATGTTCAATGCATCATCACTATATTCTCCACTGTTAAGTATATGTAAATACTAGACGATTGTGAAAATATCTACCTTGTTAAGGTCTTCGGAAGAAAAGCTTGTAAGATGAGAGATGACTAAGAATGGGTTTCTTAAAGTGATACAACTCTTTTGAAATATTCTTGGCCAGTTTGTCCCAGTGGGAGGGTACTTACATGGTAGGCATATTTGGGCAAAGTGCTTGAAACACTATTGGAGCATGACAAAAATGACTTTGAAATGTCTTCTTACACAAAATACATTTGTTGCCAGGGCACTTCTAGTTGACCATTTGACATCCCATGTTGGGCAATTTTTAAATTCATGTGTCAGTAGTAAATGAGGTAATTAGTGGAACTGATAACTTCTGGGAGCTCCCCTTTCCTCTATTGACAATTCCTTTGTAAAACAAATGCCAAGTCTGTAGGCTAATAATAAAGACTAGACTCCCTTGTTCATTATACATACAGCACTAACATGGGCAACATAGATCTAGAAGTATATTTGAATTATGTTCTCTTTGCACGATTTGTGTGCAAATATTATCATCCCTATTCACCCTAATCAGTCATGTAGAATAGAATAATTAGTCTTTTGTAGGTTCCTATGACTTTTAATTAGCACTCACTTTAGACAATAACCATAAGAGAAATTGCCACCCTCATCTTTTGTAATTATTTTAATTTTCAAAGTTGTTATCATGGTACTGTTGATATTTTTTAATTTACTTTTTAACTTCAGCTTTCACTTGACTAGCACTTTTTTCTTCCATCCCTGGAGGACTCATTTTATTGGGGACCGTTAAACAACTCCTCTAAAAAGAATGCTTCACTGGATAAGTTTCATTCCATTAAAGACATGGGAAAACAAGCAGCTATTTATCTCTTTTGGCCAAAAGAACCTGAGATGAAAGAAACAAATACACCTAATCTGGTGATGCCTTTAGAAAATGCACTAATGACATAAAAGCTTCTGAGGGGTCATCATCACCATCATCATCACATGAAGTAATTTCCACGTGGCCAGCAGGGTTCTAAGAGCTGTAAGTACATTAACGCAGACCCCTGTGAGGTAGATGCTATTTTTTTCTCATTTATCACTTGCGGGTAAGGAGACAGGCTGGTACTAATCACTCAGCCAGGAGGTGCTAGAGGTAGAATTTGACCCAAGCAGGCTGGCTTCAGAATCAACCTGCAGTCATTATGTTTATAGCACTGGCTTCATGCCATGTATTTTGTACAGCTTTTTATCTGATTGTTTTGTCTAACTTTGAATTTTTAGAGGGTGGGGAACAAACATTTATTTGAACCTTTA